GAGAGAGGATACAAATTATGAACAACAAATACACATCTATCAACAAGAGAATCTGAAAATCAAGTTGAGAATCTGATAAACAGAATGAACTGGTGATTATAATAAAATCAGGGGCATAGAATGGGAATGGACTGGCTATTCTTGGGGAGTAAAGGGGTGAGGGGGATGCGGGAAGAGACTGGACAAAAATCGTGCACCTATGGATGAGGACAGTGGGGGGTGGTGAGGGCAGAGAGTGGGGTGGGAACCAGGTGGAGGGGAGCTATGGGGGGAAAAAAGAGGAACAACTGTAATAATCTGAACAATAAAGATTTAATTTAAAAAAATAAAATAAAATAAATGGACATGTGCCAGACTTTTGGTTAGTAAATAAAATCTCGCTAATAAGATTGAGTAAAAGCCAAATTTCCTGATTAAATATCTGCAAAAAGAAGTTGATGAGGCAAAATTGTTAAGAACACGGGCTCCAAAGTCGGGTAGATCTGGTATTGAATCCAGGCTGCCCAAACAATGACCTGTGTGACAACCTTAGGAGACGTTCTTAACGCACCCCCTCAGCCTCAGTTTCCTCCTTGGTAAAATCAATGTAATAACAGCTACATCACCAGTTGTTGAGAGTATTGTGTGCTTAGATATATAAATTCCTTAGCATAGTGCATAATGTAAACATGCTATAAGTACCTAGTCAACACACAGCAAACACACAATAAGTAGTCCTTATTAATATCACTGTTAGATAATAATTACTCAACATAATGATAATTATTAAGAAGTGGGAATTTTGAAGTAGCTCTAAAGAGTATTTTTCCAGCAAAGGATACTCTGTGTATATTATATCCAGTTATGACTACAAAAAAAGGAGGGATATTTTTATAGTATAAAAATAAATCTATACGTGAACAAAGAAATTCTGTCTGAGTTTTGCCATCTAGAGAGCTCCAAAGAGTCAGACGGGAGAAAAAGACACGTGACTGAACTGTTCAGTTACTTGACCTTCACCCACCAGCCCATCAAGTCAGCTCTCCGGGCCTCGGTTTCCCAAACAGTAAAGTGGTTGAACAAGACTAGCTTTCTCTGTGGTTCAATTAAAACTAAAGCCAAAGAGAAACCTTTAATGCCTGCCACAGTGGCTATAAGAACAAAGCTCTGCATGATTCCGTAGCTGGGAGGACGGAAGATCGATATGATACATGCATAGCCTTTGGCAGACGCTAAATATGGAGCTGGGAGAGGAGGGTGGGGGAGGAGCTCTGGTCCAGGCTAGAACAACACCCTATATAGACATGACAGACCATCTTCAGACGGCGTGTCACATGTGCCCAAGATAGAGCCGCTCTGGGTCACATCATCAGTGTGGAAGGCTAATGAGCTTGTTTTCAGTGGCATTTCTCCTAAAGGGGTTACCAAGTGAGAAACAGAAGCAGGTTTTCAGTGATATTTCACAAGTGGAGAACTGGAGGGGTGCCTCAATCACCCATCTCTCAATACAGAAGAGTTAGGGAGAGTGACTGCAGATAGCGCCATGAGCAACCCTTGTAGGACTGAAAGCAGACTGGAATTTACGAACCTCCCATCCCCGGCACCTCTCAGGTCTCAATCACTTGATTTCTCGTCCCTTTCTCCTCTTTTCGCTGTTTTCACAGGAAGGATGCCTTCAACAGGCCCCTATGGTTCACACACACACACACACACACACACACACACACACACACACACAGAGGACAGAAAGGAAGCTTGATCTTGCAAAGGCAGAGGGGTAGTGAAGGCCCGAAGGCAGAGGATGGGGAGGGCTTAGGGATGAGCTCTTGTCCATTTCATCTGCTGGAGAGCTGAGGGCTGTCCAGTAGGAAACCCTCAATTCTCATCCCAACTAACAGATACCCACTCTTCACTACCCCTCTTTCTTCTAATACACTCTGTGCCTCTTTATTTGCCTGGAAAGACCTGCCCTTCACTTGCCACCCCACAACTCTCATCTCTTCTCGAAAAATCTTCTTTGATCACCTACCCACTGGTAGACCAGGTGCCCCCTCTGTGTGGCCACACTAACCCCCACTCCTCGTACCTCTAACATCGTCATCATCACACTCTGCTGAAATGTTGGTCCTCTTGTGTTTATCCCTCATCTGTGAAAATGGAATTAGATTGACCCACCTTCCTCACAGGGTGCTTATAAGGTTCAGTGGAGATATAGAACAAATGGCAATAATTTGTGCTTGGACTCTCACAAGATTTTGTACATTTGGAAATACTCTCTTGTTTGTTATGTAAGAAAGCCCCTTCAGAACAATAGAGCACAATATAAAACTAAGGTGAAATCATGACTATTATTAACCAAAATGTATTATAGTAGGTTTTAGGTTATCTGGACTTTATGAGGTGG